CCTCGCTGGCCCAGGGTGTCATGTGGAACCTGTGTCTGACAGGGGCTGGACAGTGGCCAGGCCCGGGCAGCAGAACCGGAAGGGTACAGGCGCCATCAGCTTCGTGGTGGTGGTCTTTGCAGAGCGGGGATGGGGGCAGCCCAGAGTCCAAGGAGAGGCAGGAGCGGGGCGCTGTGTGGGGAGCCTGTCCTCCCAGGGGACCCAAAGGTGGTGGCTCCACGGGTGGAAATTGGGTGTGGGTGAGAGAGCTCAAGGACAGAAGGGGGCGGGGGCCACCAGGTGGGGAGCGGGGGGGGCGGGGGGGGCGGGGGGGGCGGGGGGCAGCCCCGAAGCATGGGCCTGGCCTAGGCGCTGCCTTTCGATGTGGGAGCAGGGGGCGCCCAGAGATGCAGGCTCCATTGCACAGGGGGTGCTCAACTGTGACAGCTGGGTGCCTGGTGGCGTCCTCTGTCCCTCCAGTGGGGTCAGGACCCTGGACTATCCGGGGTCCAGGAAACGGGGGACACTTGGCTGAGGGCATTAGAGAGAACCACTCACCGGGGCCCTCACGCCCCTGCTCAGCAGAGCCGGCTCCTCGAGGAGGCCTCCAGGGACTCGGGGTCGGGGCTGGGAGTCTGAGCGGCTGGGGGCCTCTGCACCGTGCCCTGGAGGCAGCAGCCAGCCCCAGGGTGGAGAGGCTGGATTTCTCGGCTTGTGGGGGTGGGGGGAGCATCCAGGGGCCGAGCTGGGCCTCAGCTGTTGGCCTCTTGCTGGACAGCGTGGGCCTGGCCACCGTCCATGGGCGCGGCCTGAACCCTCCTGGGGGCCGCGCCTGCCTGTGTCGCTGCTCAGGGCGAGCCTCCCTCCTCCTGCGCCACCCGGTGGGCGCGCTGCCACTGGTGGGCGGCTGCGGCGGCTTCCTTGGATCCGCAGCTCCCGCAGGGACATGCCTCCCTGACCTGTCCCCAAAGCCACAGGGCGGAAGTCAGCGTAGGTCTCTCACTTCTGAACTGTTCAAATGGGCAATCAATTTTTATGATATAATTTATAATTGATGCAGGTTGTCTTCATACATATGGTGTTGCTTTTGTGTGTCGGGGCTTCAGGTACTTTATGACTCTGATGGTGTGATTTGCATGCATGTTGGGTTACCGAGATCATATTTCTCCTGTTTACACCATAAGGACCCGAAATGAAGATTAATTCCGCCTCCCTTCACTCGGGCTGCTCCCCATAGACCCCAGGCTGCTGCTCCCCTCTACACCCCAGAAGCCACCTACTCCGGAGCCCAGGATGCGTGGCTATTGGTGTAGGCCCCAGGATGCTGTCTGCGCCTTGGGAAGAGGCCTGGGCTCTGGAGCTAGAGATGGGGTGCAAGGTGGGTGTCTCCTCCCCAGGGAGTCCGCGGGGCGAGCTCGGCCGGCACCACCGCCTGGCCAGCCAGATCCCCCCACCCCGCCCCCAGCGCAAGGCCCACGCTGGCCAGCCACTGAGCAAGCTCCGAACCCTCAGAATGGGCCCACCGGGAAGACCCTGAGGCAAGAAGCAAGTGGTGACCAAATCTGGTGACTGCCAGAGTGCCCTTCCTGACTTTTCTCTCCCCCAGAGCCCCTGTGGGGAAGGGACAGCCCAGACCTGCTAGGGACAGGCCCGAGGCGGAGGGGGCAGTCGCAGAGGCCCAGAGCCAGGCTCTCCAGACGCAAGTGGAATGATTAACCCAATTAAGCTCGAGCAAACAGACGCAAGATGGAGCGGTGTTGACCCCAGAGAAAGGGCTCCTTGGAACCGAGTGCAGGTGCCCTCTCCAGCTACAGGCAAGTGGGGGCGCCGGGCTAGCAGACAAGGTGGAATTGGGATGGCAGGCAGATGGGGTCTCCACCGGTCTCCGGGGAGCCTGAAGGGCCCCCACCCTGCCTCGGGCTCTGTGGAAAATCAGCCCCGGGGACTGGAGACCTGGAGGCTAAGCTGGGCTCAAAAGCCCAGACTGGAAAATTCCAGTGAGAATTGGGAATGGGGAAGGTCTAAGTACTGGTGGCCCAGGTCACCCAGAGGATACCCCCAACCTCTACTGGGGAGCAGGGGGAAGAGGCTGCTTGCGGTCCAGGATCAAGCCAAGGCCCCTGCCCAGAGCGCTGCCAGTGCTTTCAAACGCTGCCTCTCCAGCGGTGGGGGAGGGGCGCTGGGCTCCCGGGGCAGGGGTCACCGGCGGGGGGACTGCTCCTGCAGCACCCCTGGGACCCCAGCCAGGGTTGTGGATGAGGGGCACAGGCCGCCCTGAGGCCCAAGCTCACAGGGCAGGGGGTGGGGGGAGGCACGGGTCCACCGGTCCGCGGCGTTCCCAAGCGTAATTATTTGATCTGCAGATGTAAGTGGAATTTATTGTAACAACAAATATAGTGATGTCAAAACCCAACCTTGGATTAAAGCCGGCAGCCAAAGGGGAAGTGTATTAATTTCCAACAGCATCTCAGGCCAGAGCCTATTAGAACAAGCTATTCTTCAGGCCCCCCCATCAGAATTAATCATTGGGAGTTAATTTGAAGCTCAGACAAGTTGCTGTTAATTTAGTGCAGGGAGGACGGGATGGAATAAAAAGCTGAGGTGCTGGCCGAGCCTCGTGGGTCTCATTAATCAGCCAGCTGAGACGGCCTGGCTTGATTACAATTTGCAAAAAAATTCATTAGGGCCCGGGCGATTGACAATTTTTCTCTCTGCCTGTGATGTGACTCATTAGGCAGCCAAATGAAAGCCATGATGACGGCCATGATGACAGCGGCCATCAAGCGCCGCTTGTTTATCTTCCTCCCCTTGGCCTGTCTCTCGGGCCGCGGCCTCCCCGCGCGGCTCTCTGGGGCGCCCTGGTCTCTGGGGCCCCCGAGTTCAGGGGCTGGCGAGGACAGCGTCAGGAGTGGCCTTGGGGGGCCAGCGGAACGGTGGGGCACCGGGGGGACCCCGGGGTGGAGTCCCCACCCCTCGTGCTTCCAAAGGAGGAGGCTGGAACAGCTGGGGAGGACCCTGGAGCTGGGGTTCGGGGTGGGGTTCCCAGGGGCGGCCCCCATTCCTAGTAAATGCCGCGTGCCCACGGGGTGTGTGCGGCCAAGCCCCTGCCCCCCCCCGCGCCTCCCTCCCTGCCACAGGCTTTCGGAGGCGGTGGGTGGGGATCGGGAAAGCGGGCCGGGGGGTCACTCCAGGCGCGCAGCGGAAAGCCCGACCCCAGCACCCGAAGAATTTCTCCCCAGGCCGGGAGGGCCAGGTGGGGGCGCCCCCGCCCTGCAGGCCGCGGCTCTCCGGTGCTCTGCCCCGACCCCCGGCGCGGAGTTGGGGCGCACATGCGGTGGGGGCCGGGGGCCGGCGTGCGCGGAGGGGGTGCGGGCGGCGGCGGCGCAGGGCCCGGGACGCGCCCGGGCAGACGACGCGGGCCGGCACCCCGCGGGGCTCTGGGCGGCCGCGGGCGGCATGGAGAGCGCCCCGGCCTTGGCCACGCGCTGGCTCAGACGGCGCCCCGGACGGCGCCCGCACGGGTGGGGGGCGGCAGAGTCCCCGCGCCCGCTCTGCCCCGCAGAGGAGGCTGAGGCCCCCTGAGGCCCGGCCACCCCTTTAGGTCGCTCCGAAATCAAGCGCGGGCCTTTTGGCTGCCCCTGGAGACCTGGCCACAGGCGTGAACGCGGCTCCCCTCACCTCGCGCCTGAGGCTCGGCGGGGACCTCGGCTCCAAGCCCCACCGACTCGGGAGGCCGCGGCTCCAGGCCCCTGTGAACTAAGGCCACTTTAGCCTCGACCCTGGCGACGCGTCCTCCACGCACGCGGGGCACTGCGCCCCCGCGCCCCGCGCCCCGCGCCCCGGCCTCGCATCCGCAGCCGAGCGCGGCGGAGCCCGTTTCTTTTAGCCCTTCGGGCTGCTGGTTTGGGGGCTGCAGGGCTCACGTCGCCCCTGCCAGCCCGCTCCACGCCCGGGTCACCCCTGCCTGTCCACGGGGACCTCCGGGGGCCTGGCCGGCCGCCTGGGGGGCGCTTCGGGATCCGGACAGCGTCGGCGGAATGAACCCGGCTCCGAGGCGCGGTGCAGCGGGGTGGGATTGGGGATCCCTGCACGCCCCTCCCGCGCCCACTGGGCCTCCCCATAAGGCGGGGAGCTGCCCTGCGCGCAGGCGGACGAGCCCCCATCCGGCCGGCGTCCCTCGCGCCTTCCCCCCCAGCGCGGCCGACCGCCCGGGCCCCTCGGGGTGGGGCAGTGGTGGGGTCCCGCCCCTCCGACCCCGCCCGCAGAGGGAGGTGGCCCGCGGGTCCGCGCTCCCCGCCCGCGAGCCCGGCTCTGGGGTGGGTGTCTGCTCCAGAGGGAGGTAACCCGAGCGGCTTGAGGGGCCTCGGCCCTGCGGGGGCGCGCGCCGCTGCTCTGCGGGGCGGGGGTGTCTGTAAGGAAACGGGATTCCCCCCGCGTGTGGCCGGCGAGAGCCGGGGAGCTGTGTGGGGCCTCCACGCCCGCTTTCCACCTGGGGCGCCCACCTCGGCCTCTGGCCCAAGTTTGCCAGCCTGAGGGTCTCCCCTGGGCTTGGCGAGGGGGAGAGATGACACTTAAGGGGAAAGCTAGGCCCCGGAAATTTACAACCCAGCTGGAGCGCTGCTCTCCACCCTGGCCCCGTCAACATGGGCGAGCGCGAGGCCCTGCGCAGGGCCCGCTGGACCCCGCGCGCCCCGCTGCTCCAGCTGCCCCCTCAGCGCCCGTGGACACCCTTAGAGACCCACGGCTTGGTCTGGTTTTTCTCCCTCTCTCTCCTTTTTATTATTCACAAGACTGAGATTGTTTAAATGTCATAACTTATAAGAAAATAAGCTACATTGAAATAAATTAACGACTGAGGCGTGCTTCGGTCGTGGCTCAGGTAGGACAGGCAAGCCCAGAGAAGCAAGCCAGGCAAACCCAACACAAAGCAAATTTCCAGGCTGCTCAAAAAAAAAAAAAAAAAAAAAAAAAAAAAAAAAAATCTGCTTTTCAGTCAACTAAAAAAAAAAAAAAAGCCAGAAAAAACCCAAAACTGTGTGCAAAGCCCAGAGTTTGTCCTGGCGGTGGTTACCTTTGGGGAGGTGTTGGGGGGGTCTGGCTACGCTGCAGCTTACAGCAGAGGTTTGCTTTCTTCTGGAATGTGAGTGGAGAATATTACTGGGTGGTTTGGTCCTATAACTCTCAAAATGCTGCCGCTGAGATCCAGTGGACACAGAGCTCTATGTACAAAGTGGGGTGGCAATAAATATTCAGTGCGACTTCCGGCGTAGCTGCAGCCCCTTCGTCACAGTCTTTAAGCCTGTTTCCTGAATACACTCGCAATTTTCTTGGGATGTCCACAGTGTGTGTGGGGGGGAGGGTGACTTTGAGTTTTGCTTCAAGCCCGTGGGGGTCCAGGCGGGTGCCCTCCAGCACTGAGGCTTCTCTGCGTGCGCGGGGTCCAGGCCCGGCCAGCCCCGGCCCTCCTGGCCCTCAGGGCCGGGCCTGCTCCAGCTGCTGGTGCTGACTTCTAATAGCGAACCTGCTGACGTGGACAGGGATGGGGACGACGATCTTGGGGTTCCGGGAGGGCTCCCCTGTCTTGGAATTGGCATTGCCGGCCTTCACCCGTTTCCACTTGGCGCGGCGGTTCTGGAACCAGATTTTCACCTGCACCTCGCTGAGTTTGAGGGCATGGGCGATCTGCGAGCGCTCGGTCAGCGAGAGGTACTTTTTGCAGTGGAACTCCTTCTCCAGCTCCAGCAGCTGCTCGCTGGTGAACGCAGTCCGCCGCCGCCGGTTCTTGCCCGTGGACGTGGTGCTGCCCGCGGGGCCGCCGCTGGGCGCGGCCTCCTCCAGCGCGTGGCCCGGGTCTTCCTCCTTGTGGGCCGCCTGGCCCGGCAGGTTGTCGTCCGAGCTGTAGTCCAGGTCGCTCTCCAGCGAGAAGCTCTCCTCCTTGGCCTTCGGGTCGTCCTCCACCTTTGAGTCATCTTTCCCTTGTCCTCTGACAGCGCCGACTGAAAGCCAAACCAAATGGCGTTTTATTGCATTTGGCACGCTGGCCTCCCTCCCCACCCCGCGCCTCTCCCCCTCGGCGGATTGTCTCTATGACATTAACACATTGTGATTCCTGGCCTTTGAGGGGGTAGAGAAGGGGGGGCGTGAGAAAGCTCAAAGGACAGGAGGAGACAGGACAGGCGACGGCCCTTTGCCCGGAACCATCACTCAAAAGCCCGCCAGGCCTCCTCTGCGGCCTCCCAGCGCCGGAGGGGTAGCTGGAGGCGGCAGGCCCTGGAGAGCTGTCCTCTTTGTCCTGGGTGGGGGCTGGGTGAGGGCCCCGAGGGAACTTCACTGGCCACCCTGCGCCCACCCCCAGGGAAGATTTAGTGAACCTCACACTACATGTCATGGGGCGGGTCGGGGGCGTCAGAGGGAGGGTAGATCCCAGACCCTGTCTCGTTGGTCAGAGGAAGTTTCCCAGCCTTAGGAGAAGTTCCCAACACGTGCACACACGCGCGCACACGCGCACACCCCCCCGCAGAGGCAGATGCACGGTCCCCCAGGCGCCCGGTCCCCCAGGGCTGGCCGCGTGAGCCCGGGAGGGCCGGAAAGTGGCCGCCCCTGGGCACGCGCGGGAACGGGCCGCAGAGCCCAGTCCGCCTTCGGGGAGGCTGCGTCCCACCCCGGGCCCCAGGCCGCCGCGCGGGGGCGGGGAGACGAGGCCGAACTCGCCGCCAGACCGAGGTGACGTCCCGAGCAGCAGCAGCAGCCGAGGCCGGACGCGGGAAGGGGGCGCGCTTGGAGTCCCCACCCCCGACCCCGCGCGCCGCTGAGCTCGGAACGCGCCCCCGCCCCGGCCGCGCGCCACGGGCGCAGGGAACGCCCGCGGGGGTCGGCGGGGCTCGGCTCCCCCCGCCCCCCAGGCCCCGGCGGGGACCCGGAGCCGACTCGGCCCCGCCCGGGAGCGCCCGCGCCCGCGCCCCGCCGACTCACCGAGCGACGCCTGCACCGCCTCGGCCGCGGAGAAGGCGAGCAGCGCGCCCTCCTTGCCCAGGAAGCCTTTGCCGTCCTCGGCGTCCGCTTGCAGCGCCTCCGCCTTGTCGAAGTTGCCGCCGCCGGGCAGCGGCTGCGGCGCGAACTTGCGGGCGGCCGCCGCCTCCTGGTGCTGCGGGGAGGCCGAGAAGCCGCCGGGCAGCGTGGCCATGAGCGTGGAGGTGAGCGCCATGCCCTGCGCCAGGCTGGAGCAGAAGCCGGTGGGCAGGCTGGGGATCTGGTGGTGCGGGTGCGCGGGCGGCAGCGCGGGCTGCAGCGCGGCCTGGGGCAGCGCGGGCGGCGGCGGGGGCGGCGGGAGCACCACGGGCCGGTAGGGCATGAACATGGGGTAGCCGGTGTAGACGAAGTGGCCGGGGCTGGGCTGCGGCGGGCTGCCGATGAGCGAGTCTATGCTGAAGGCGGTGCTGCTCCCCAGCGGGCGCTGCATCATCATCAGCGACGGCGGGAACGCTGCGCTCATAGACGCGCTCGGGGAGGCCGGCTGGACACGCGAGGGCCCGCGCGGCGCCGCCTCCGGGAAGCCCTCCGGGGGCGCGGGGCGGGCGCCGAGAGCGGCCCGGGGAGCAGAGGCCGCCGGCCCTCAGCCCCGAGCCCGCTGCATGCCGGGCGGCGGGCGGGCGGGAGGGCGGGCGCGGGCCGCGGCCGTGCGCCCGGGAGCGGAGAGGGCGCCGGGCCCCGCGGCTCGCTGGAGCCGCCTCCCGCCGCCGGCCCGTCGGAGCCCGCGCGCGCCGCGTCCGCGCCCCGGGCCCGGCTCGCGGCGTCCTCGCGTCCGGTCGTCCGTCGGGTCCGGCAGCCGGGGGCCGCGGCGGGCGGCGGGCGAGCGCGCGGAGCCGGCACACTGTCCTCGGCGGGCGCCGCCAGCACCTTTAAATCGCGCTCCTCTTTCTCATTCACATTTTGCTGCCGCCGGGCCCGGCTCGCCTCACGTGGGGCCGGGGGCCGCCGCGCATTGGCCGCGCCGGGGGGGCGGGGCGGCCCCGGACCCCGCCCCCCGCCCGGGCTGGCCGCGCGCCGGCTGCGGGCGCCCCCGGCCGAGGGCGCGGGCCCGGGCGCAGAGCCCGCGCGCCCGGCCGCTGCGCGCAAACTTGCGAGCGGCGCTGGGCACCTCCGAGGCCGAGCCCTGGGGCCGGCCGGGCGGCTCGAGGCCGCCGCCGGGGCAGCCGGCCGGGGGAGCGCGCCGCGGCGGAACCCGGGCGCGCGCGTCCCGCTCTCCGTGCGCGGGACCCGCCCGCCGCCGCCGCTCTCCCCGGCGCTGGTTGCTGCTGCCGCCGCCGCGCCAGGGGTCCCGGCGCGGTCCCCAGAGCTGGGGACGAGGTCCTGCCCCTGCACATCTGTGTCCAGGGCCCGGCTGCCCCTGCTCCCCGCGGGGATCCCTCGGGGCTGCTCGCCGCGCCCCCCGCGCGCTCCCGGAGGGGCGGGGTGGCGGCGGGCTCTCCCATCCCCGGCCCGGCCCTCCCGTGAGCGATCCCTTCTCATTTTTCATGACGTTCTTAATCATCGCACCTATTTACACACTTTGCCGACGCGCACCAAAATAACAGCCACGATAATTATGATAATAAAGCGAGTCCTTTATCTGCTCCATCCTCGGGGAGGAAGGGGGAGTTGCTTTGCCTCCAGACTGTATAACGTGAGATTATCCTGATGAAAGCTTTATGATGTTTGCTCAAATAAAAGCTGCGTTTTGTAAATAGGCGCTAATTAAGCACGTTGAGAACGGAGCCGCGCTCATCCCGCCGCCGCCGCCCGGCTGCCAGCGCGAGGACTCGAGGGCGCGCGGCTCCCCTGTGCCTCCTGCAGGATGGAGTCGCTTCCCCGAAGACGCGGGCCCCGGCTCGACAATGGTAAAACCCCAGCATCTGGGAGCGAGGGAGCTGGCGGGGAAGGTGGGGGGCCAGAGACGTTTCTATCCCCTTCTCTCTGATGGAAAAGAAAGAAAGAAAAAAACAACTTTCAGCTCTTGGGAGCTGTTGTGGAATGAAGTCGAGTCGTGCCAAGGGGCCGCGTGAAGCGCCATGGCGCGCGGGGCTTCCGCGGGCCTCCGGGGCCTCGGCTCCAACTTGGGTTCTAGAAGTTCCCCCGCGAGGCCCGACGGCCGCGCGCCCGGCAGGGGTGGGGAGAGGAAAAAGGGGCATTGTCGGAGCGTCATTAAAAATCAGCTCACGCGAGGAACTAGTGGTCGGGGAGTTGGCCCGCGTTGGACGTGTGTTATGTATCCCTTACAAGCACATTTAATTGGGAGATAAAGATAAATCGATCTTTATGAATGTATCGACCAGACTCTGAAGCTCTTGTCTCTCCCTCTGGCGCTCCCCCCAACCCCAAGAGCCCCCAGACCCCAGTCCCAGCCCCGGGCCACCTCCGCTGGCGGGCGCCCGGCGCGGGACGCACTGACCACCCCACGGGCCCTGCGGGCGGAGGGGAGCGCGCACCCCCGGCGCCCCGGGGCGCTGAGCAAAGTCGCCGGCCCCGCCGGCCGCGCGCCCCTCCGGCTCGGCTCGCCTCCTCCCGCCGCACCGCCACCCGGACAAAGACGCCCGGAGCGCGCGCCCCACTCATGGCCGCCGTAATAGATGGCTCTGGCAGCAGGCGGTGTGAAAGGAATTCATTAGGAGGGTGCCTGGCCGCCTCCGCTGCCCGCGCGCCCAGACCCCGAGGTGGCCTCGGCCGAGCGAGGGGAGATGGATTCCCCCGGGAGCCCCGGGAAGGGTCTCCGCGCCCGGCTCTCCCGCGCCACTCAAAAACAGAAGGGAAAAGAAAAAAAATCGAAGGCCAGGGCAAAAGGCTGAATTCTTTATGAGCATAATAAATACTCCCTCTCATTATGAGATAGTTACAGGCGCGCAGCCTCGGCCATGTTCACCTTGTTTTTTTGAAAACCAGGAAAGAAAAAAGCCGCCGGCTCCGTGATTGATTTACAGGCTCCAGCCGGGGCCTCTCCCGCCGGCGCTGCAGGCCCGGCTCGGCGGCCCCTCCTTGCGCCCAGACAGGATCGCCGCCCGCGCGCGGGTCCCCTGAAAGTGCTGTTCTGGGGACTTCCGCCGCCTGGCAAGCCTCCGAGAGGCAGGGATGCCTTTGGTTATCTTGGGGATCATTTTGCATTTGAAGTTCAGCAAGAAGATTTAGGTCCGTTGAATTATAGCTACACTTGATATAATTTGGAGACTTATTATTTGCATCCATAAATTGCCGTGGAAAGTATCGACCGCGGGGGTTATAATACTAATCTTCTTTTATTAGTGAGTTCAGAGAATTCTCATCAATATGAATTTTATTTACTAGGGTGCTTTTTCGCGAATGCAATGCAGTAATATTTTCTCACCTAATGCTTAACTGTTCAGAAAACGACTGTCCGCTCCATAAAAGGGCCCTTGCGTTGCGCTGTGATTAAGAAGCTTCATCCCGGGCACCTCGCACCTGCACAGCGATCGGCGCGGGAGACGCCGGATAATAAAAGCCCTTAGAGTTTTTCCTCGGCTCCTCGGAGAGATTTATGGGCAGCGAGCGACAGGTACTCGGCTTATCCATCCTTGGGATTCCTGCCTGCTTAGCTCATCCCTGCCGCAGACGCAGAGCCCTGGGGGACTGGCCTGGCCCCGGCTGCTGGGAAACCACCTGCGTGTCTTCACCTCCTTGATTTGGGGATCCCCTTCTCTTCTCACCCCCCCCCCTTAGGGACAACGCAGGATGCCCGGGAGGGAGATTTGGGTCTTGCAACTGCCAGTGAACTTGTGCGAACTTTTTTCCCGGGCCACCTCCCGCGGGGATGAAGTTGGCCCAGCCCCTGGCCCTGTCCTCGGATGGTGCCAAGCTGGTGTCAAGATCGCACGAAGCCACTTACAACCTCAGACGTCAGCGAAAGTGATGGTAATTAAGTTGTCTCCACGCTGCAGTGCTGTCCCAGGCAGCGTCTGCGTGCAGGTGTGTGGAAGCCGAGTGCAAAATGCAAGAGGCTCGGGCGATGAATATTCATGCAGCAAACTTGCTTCGCTGGCCGAGTCCTGCGAGGCGCGCGCGTCCACGCTGCGGCTGGGGGAGAGGTCGCCCGCAGCGTGGGGAGCAGGCAGCGCGGGAGCCCTGGGGTGCGCAGGGCACGGAGGATCCCGCGGGGCCAGGGGGCCAGCACTGGCCAGCCGCCCCGGCGCTGGCCTGGTTTCTCGGGCAACCGTGTTGTTTTTATTTATAGGGACTTCGAGAGGCCCGAGCACTCGGTCATTGCCGCAGCTCTTGCTCCTGGCAATAGTTGGGAAATAGCTTGGGATGGGTTTTATTTATGGAAGGGCAATTGGGATTCACACCCAGCTAACCCAGAACAGTCCTTCCCGAGCCCAAGACGCACTTACAATGGGGTGCTTGTGTAAAATTCCCCATCAGACACACCAATTTGCAAGTAGCAGAAAGCATTGAAGGCTCATCTTTTTAACTATTTTATTCAGCTTTTTTTTTTTTTAAATCTGAAAGCCCAAAATAGACTCCATGTGGCTCTAAGTGAAGTCAGCCCTTGGCTGGCTTTGAAATAGGTCCTGCAATTATGTAAAAGAGTCATTCACCAACAGAACGGAATTAAAAGGGATCTCGCCTGCTTCCCTTTCATGGCCAACCTCTCATGTTTGGCTTTTCAAAGCACTTCCAACACGATGTCTTTCTCCGGGACAAAAGGCAGAACAAAAAAAGTCCCCAAACTTGTAAATTGAACGTCAAGGGAACTTTAAACAATTTAAAGCCCATAAATAATGATAAAGGGGACTGGCAAAAAGGCAAACCCATTCAATTAATAGAGTTTCCCAAGCAAAGATCAAGTGGTTTATAAAATGAAAGTCTTGGGCTTCATTCTTCTGCTCCTCGGCCGCGCCGGCGGCGGGCGGGGTGGGGGCTCCAAGGCGCCCCCGAGAAGGAGCTCCCTGCGGGACGGTGCGCCCCGCGACATTCTTATGTAGAAAGTTTTGCTTTTTGTCCCCCACCCTCAAAGTAGTGGAGACAAAACCGCAAACCAGAAATGTGAAGGGGAGGAGACTCCTCCCCTCTCCTTTGCATTTCCTCGGGGGGTGGGGGGGCTGGGAAGGCTCCCCGCAGGCCCCCAGGCGGGAAACGTGACCCTCCACACCTGCGCCCGGCCCGCCCCGCGCGGAGGAGCCTTGGGGCCGCCAGGCGACCCCCGCGGGGCCTGGGGCCGGGATGGGGGTGTTCCCGCAGCGCCCCAAGCCCCTGCCGCGGGTGTGGGTGCGCTTGGAGGCGCGGGGGGGCGCGGAGCGGGGTTCATCAGCAGCCTCCCAGCCGTCGGGGGTCGGCGCCCCAGGGCCCAGGTGGGGGTCCTGCTTCCTTTTCCGAGTAGCCCTGGAGGTTGGAGTGGGGCGTCCGGAACCACCGGAGGTAACGGACCTTCTTGCACTTGGCAGGGAAGCCGGGCGCCCGCGCTCGCCGTGCGCCCTCGCGGGAGCGCTCAGCCCGGCCTAGGCGGCTCCTCGGGCGAGACTGCGCCTCCGCGCG